GTGTATAGTATTACGATCAAAATGGTTTTGGAACATAAAAGGGGATTAAAGGTAGGGATCGGAAATTCTGGCAGAAGGCACCAATTTGTTGTATCAGTTCTTTTACGCTTAAAAATATTAAGCAATTTATGTGGTTAGGTAGCAGAAGGTTAATTAGTGTATAATTAGACAATATATTAAACAATATATCAAAATTATCCGATCAGACGTGTTGTATAGCGCTGTACGTCGGCATATACCTCCAAACACGAATAAAGGATTTCACTTGATAAAAACTGTCACTTTATAACTTAAAAAAATGAAAACTTTATTTTTTCCCTTTTTTATTACAACAAGAAAATTGACCTATATTTATAATAAATTATACATATAAGAAGAAATTTAATATATTTACTATGTATAATATGACTAACATGTTCAATACGTTGATCATAACCAACATGTTGATTAGGTTCGACATGTTAATCATGTTCGGCATATTAATTATGTCCGACATGTCAATCAAGTTAAACATTTGCAACATCGATCAATTTCGGAGTGGCACATGACGATCACATGACACTACAAAAAGTTATTTGAAGTTTTATTTTAAAATAAAAATATATTTTGGGTAGAAGTTGACTTAATTTCATACAATCTTATATACCTTTCAATGTCTATACAATGCTCTCGTTCTGCTGAAATAAAATTGCATATATTTTGAATTGCAATTCAACAATTAAGTACTGCTAACTCAGTTTGATTAAGTACTATATTATTATTATTTATTTCCAAAGCCAACTATCAAAATTATTACGAATTTTTTTTTATAGAAGTCCTTTTTTTTGGGCCGTCGCAGTTTCGGTGAGATGATCTTGACTTGTAAATCAATTGACGAGGTTTAACTTTGAATTTTTTAATAACGCCTAATTTAATTTTTTTATTATTTAAATATGTACAACGATTTTTATAAGTTTTTATAGTAAAAGTTGTTTATTTGTCTGATATAGCTTTGTATTTATACATACTCTAATTAATAGAAAATCAAAGTATGACATAAAATAAATTATATGAACTGTATATTTTTAGAAAATAAAATAAAATAAAAATCATAAAGATTTATTTGATATTCGATATTTTCAATCATTTTTATTTTTACAGTTTATTTTTTTTCAAATTCTTTTTAATTCGTTTAATTAATTCATTTAACCGCCGCGTGTCCGCAGTAAGTCCACAGGAAATTTTTTTTTTTAAAAAAAAATTTTTATTATTTTTTAATCTAAAATAATAATAATAAATATTTTGACTATACAATTATACAAAATACATTTACTGTATATATATATATTATAAAAGATATTCGATCTTAAATTTCGATTTCAATTATTTTTATTTTACAGTTTATTTTTTTCAAATTCTTTTTAATTCGTTTAATTCATTTAACCGCAGCGTCCGCCAGCCCAGCCAGCGTGTACGCAGCGTGTCCGCAGTAAGTCCGCAGCAAAAATTTTAAAAAAATTATAATAAATCTAAAATAATAATAATAAATATTTTGATATTTCCTTTTTACAAAAAAATTAAAAATTAACAAAATTAACTATACAATTATACAAAATACATATACATATATATATATATATTAAATTTTACAGTAAAGCAATTAGACGTAACCAGAGTAAATGTTTATTTGAGTAGGGTGGACACCCGGAACATCTCAGTCCAATAACTTAATATACTGCAAGATAATAATAATAATAATATCCAAATCGCCCAAGATAGCTCTTCCGGATTTTATGGTGATGGACCTTGTGATACACCTTGTGTGGGTGGTGGACTTTGCGGTACACTCTCCTTGTGATGCATCTGCTTGTGATGCATCTGTTTGTGGCGGACCTGCTTGTGGGGCATCTGCTTGTAGTGAACCTTGTGGTGGAACTTATGGTGGACCTTGAATTTTTCCCTGATTGTTAATGACACTACTTTGTAGCGAAGGTGGAATACTGCTCAAATTATTACTTTGTAATATTTGAGGAGGATATGATGATGGTGATGTTGTAGCAAATCCGGTTGAAATATTTGTAGACGTGTTAACAAATTGTTGATAATTTCCATTTCCTATTCCACTATTCCCTCCTTTTTGTTTCTTCTCCAAAGGAATTTGACCTACTACCACATTTGGATATTGAGATCTTTGTTCTTCCGGATTTAAATTATCATTACTTCTTTTATTACCAGGGATTAAAGAGGGAGGAATTTGAATATTTTTATGATTGTTTTGAACATTTGAATCAAAACTATTCCAATTATGATGATTTGCTGGTGGTGGTGTTAAAGCTACATATTCATTATTATCATCATCATATGATGTATCAAATCCCAATTGTTCCAATTTTTTTATATCATCATCATATCTACGTAATTTAAATCCGGAAAGGTAATGACGATTTAAAGTTTGTTCTACAAACCAAAGTTTTTGATTGATTCTAGTATCAATCTTTTTATTTAATTCCTTTACTGAATAATATGATGGTGAAATCATACTATTTGGAGATAGTGAATTGGTAACTCTAGATTGCGTTGGAGTTCCTGTAGATGAGAAATAATTTGCTGAAGTAGGTCGTTCATCAATATCATCAAAATTTTTTGAACCAACAAGTGTACTATTATTATCAACATCTTTTGATTTTTCATATGTAAACGGTAATAAACTATCACTATTATCTTTTTTTTTCGCATCTGGAGAATTACGTAACAAATATCTTTGAACTAAACCCCACGAACGGTACTTTCCTCTCCTATAAAAAAAAAAAAGTTAAAAAAAATTAAATATTAATCATATTAATTTGATTAATTACAAATAATTCAATTAAATAATTAATAATTTATAAAAATTTACCCAAATAAAATAAACCAAATCGCCAAAGCATACGTAGTCAAACCACCAACATTAGAGATTAAATCTGAAAATGATGAAAAATATCAATAATTAATTTCTGTATTACTCCTTTTCAGGTAAGCATCATCACATAATATAAAGACTTAATTACCATATGGCGTATATTGAACCCTTTCCGTATAAGTTTGTACCTAAATTTAATATATTTAAGAAATAGTCATCAATAAAAAGTAAACAAAATTTAAATTTACTATAAAAAGAATTGACACTTACTAAATATGTATCAGGAGAATATCTAAATCTTGCAACTAAACTTTGATTCGCAAGCGGCTCTAATTCAGTAGAACTTTGTTGATTAACAAAAAAGTAAGAATGAAATTTATTTGTAATATCCACTCTTTCATAACTCGTAAAAGTATAAGTATTGGTGGAAGGAACTGGACTAATAAAGGGGTCAACCGAAGTTAAATTTCTTTCATTATTAAATATACCAAATAATAACCCAGATGAACTTGGAATAGGCCCATTATTAGCCACACCATATAAAATGATTTGATCGATTTCACCAGGTTTAAAGAACAATGTATTTCCAGGATTAAATACGAAACAAGGCCAAAATCCGGTTTGATTTGTCCAATCGCCAATAGCTAAACCTTCCGTATTAAGCCTTTGAATATAACTTTGAGGTAAATCTGTCGCTACATTTCCTGAGAAACTTCTTTTTAAAGTTTGTGCAACAGCACCAGTAAAACGTTGTCCACAAATAAACGATGACCATACCGGTATACTTGGTGAATTTTTAATTTGTAGGGTTACTAATGGCTCAGCCTTTCTTAGTCCAAATACTATAAGAATTTTGTTCATTGACATTCCTAAAATAATACATACGAATATTAAAACTAAAAGACTTCTTAACGAAGTTTCTCTGTAATCTTTTTTAAAATGCTTTAGCAGAAACATTATTATTAAAATTATAAAGTTATTAATTATTATTGTTGTTGTTATTATGCTACAAAGATCAAAAAATTTTTCTTTGAAAAGGGAGACTTTATTATTATGAAGAGGAGTTTTTATATTTGTTTTAATTTTATTTTTAGATTGATATGCAATGTAATTATTAAGTTTTCTTTGTATAATTTTTTTTTTTTTTTTTTTTCTGAAAAGAAAAAAAAAATGTAAAAAATAGTAAAGTAGGTTAGAAAAAAAAAGTTTTTATTTATAAATTCGGGGTTTTTGGCGGAAAATCCACTGTCTCCGAAAAAGTATTAGATTAAATTTATTAAATTTAAAAATAAGAAATCAAGTGCGAAAATTATTTGATTGGTTGATGTATAAGATCAACCTCAGGGACCAAAAAGAGTATTATATCAAGGAAAAGAATAATCGGAATTTTTACGCAAGATTTTAAAATTACAGAATTTACGAATTAATTTATTTGTAACTTTTTTTAGTAAAAAAAAAAATAAGAATTATTAATTGGATCCGGTTTAGTTATACAAGGATTATTAAGCATTATTCAGCAGCGTATCGTGCTTTTTTTGGTAATATATATACATAACCGGTTGATAAATTATCTTTTTTACATGATCTGAAACTTTATTATTATTATTTTTTTTTTATTATATATTCTTTACATTATATATATTTACATATATATATAGATATATAATTTATATATATAATTGTGTAATTGTTTATTAATTATCAGAATGATTTTTTAAAAAACTATGTAAACAATGATTTTTTTAGTAAAGTAGAGAAACTATTATTATCGTCAAATCACATTCTCAGATTTTTAACCACATTTTGATTATTAATCATTGCCTTTTTTTTCAAAAAAAAAAACAAAAAAAATTTATTATTTATCTGAAATTGAAAAAAAAAATTATTCAAACATTAATAAAAAATTTCTCAAATTATTAATATAAAGACGCAGGATGTTAAGACAAAGAACAAAAAAACTTTGTTTTATCAATATTATTTATTACTTTTATTAATTTAATTATTGCTTCATTTTTTATCCTCAAACATCAATTAATTTATTGCTTTATTTTTTATATTTAATTTTAATAAATTCTCATTGAAAAAACCATTTGAGCAAAAAAATTATTATTTGATCAATTATTAGTTATAAAAGATTTTTAATTACTTGTTGCAAGGATTTATTCAACTAAAAACAAATATCCTCAAATGGAGAAGATAAAATTAGAATCCAATAGGAATTTTAGGACCGATTGAAAAAAAAAATATAATGCATGAAGCTATTGTTATAAATTAATTATATGATTAAAATTGGAATAAATAAACCAAAAAAAAAAAAAATTATTTTTAATTATTTTTACTTTTTTATTTTCATTAAACATGTGGTGTTCGAAACTCAATGAAACATCTATATTTGTCACCTTTCAATGGTGATCATTTCTGGAATGATAATCAATCGCCATCGTCTTCGCAAAATTAATTAAATTCGCTTCAGCTTGTTGAATTTAGCACCATCGGATCATTTAACTATCAGTATTAAACATTTGAATAATTGAGAACAATTCTTTAATATTATTATGATCTATCGCTTATCTCAATTCAATGACGATAATCGATATAACATAAATAAAATCAGAAATTTTCTTACTGAAGATATTAAAATTCTGAATTCATTTGAGAATGTTCTTGATTAGGATAACTTATTTGCACGATATGAAACGAAATTCCCGTAACCGAAACGAAAATAAACACACAATGCTGCATGATTGTAATAATGTGAGCCAGATGCTTACAGTATTTGTTTCAAGCGTAACTTTCAAGCGTATCGGGACATTTCGCCGAAAGCCATTTCACCGAAAATAATCTTTGGCCTGAGTTATTCATAATACTGCATAATGTTGGCCCTATTTTTCGGCAAAACGTTCTTTCGACGAAATGGCTTTCGGCGAAATTTCCCGTAACCTGTTTCAAGTATATCTGATATGGTTAATTTACTTGAATGTCATTTTTTATTTAGAATGTAATATGATTGTACAATTGTACACTTTTCTTCGTTGAGAAAACAGTGGTATATCTAATTCTAATCGCTACATAATCAAATATTGTGGTATATTGTTCTAGAACAAGGATAACCATAAAGCGGTGTATTTGTTTTAGAAATGAAACAAGTTCGTTTATTTGTTGCATTTGATATAAATACTTGCCTTTTATCATCTCATGATAAACTCGGACCGGATTCTTTTCGCTCGCATATTATTACTCAAATGTTAAAATTTAATACATGTCATATTTATAAAAAAAAAAATTCTTTATTTTTCTTTTTACGTGAGTAATAATAATTTTATATTGATCACTGACAGTCAGAAACTGAGTATCAAAAAGTCTGTTACAAACCATTTTTTCTACGTAAAATAACAAATTAACATCAATTAACTGGTACATACTTACACAGTACTACACAGTATAGTCAAATGATCAGGTTATTTGGCCATTTGAAAATTGAAATGACCCCTGAATATCCTTTCTCATTTGTAATTTATGTTATCACGTGATATATTATCCTCGAATAAAATTGATAACCGGATTTGTTGCCAGATTACACGATTATTATTATCTGTATAGTTATACAAATTTATATTAACCAAATCTATATATATAAAACTAATATAGTAATCTATATAAAAAATATTTTTGTGTCAAAATATTATGTTTCGATCATGAAACAATTTGTATGTATTTCTTCTTTGGCAAAAAAAAAACGTTAAAAATATTTTATGTACTTTTAATTTTATTATTTATTATAATAAACTATTAAAGTACTAAATAGTTTTTGTTCTTATACGTTACAAATATTATTAAACATGCTATCTTTTCCAATAAATTTAAAATTTGGCTAAATATTTTTAACCATAGATGAAATTTTGGCTTACTATGTGAGTACTCTAATAACAAATCCTTCACAATCCTTCAGATTAATAAAAAAAGCTTATAATTACCGAAACCAATTACCCGGATCATGTGCGCAGTTTATGGTTGCAAAATAATTTTTTAGCAAGAATTATGATGTAATTTTTAAATGATGATCCAAATGGCATGTGACCAGTCATTTGAGTCACTCAGAGGGATCGGCATGATTTTAGCCTAAAATAAGCAACTTTTCTGATCTGAAGTGATCTGGAATATAAAAAGATGCTATTTTTGTGATACGGTAATTTTGGGCTGATTTATGTAAATCCCGTGATCTAAATAAATAAACATAGTTCTACGAATCCATAAAGCATTCTTAGAATTCTAAAAAATGTGATCTAAATAAATAAACATTCCATTTACCTTATTTATAATTCTACAGATCCATAAAGCATTCTTAGAATTTTAAAAATGTTCTAGAATTCTGGAATCTGAAAAGCCCTGATTTATTATGTTGCTTTTATGCTTAATATGAAATATATTATGTTTAAACAAATAATTAAATAGTTTCTATCTTTTATAATTCTCCTGTAAAAAAAGTTAATCCGTTTTTTATATTTCATATTTTTTCCGTAAAAGGCTCATATCTCCGGAATTAATAACCTCATATTACGGAATTTATCAAATTATTTACATTTTCCGTGAATGGATCCGTGAAAGGCTCATTTTTACGGAGTTTTTACAGAAATAACGGATAAAATTTTTTATGGGGATCCGTATTCTAACTTGAATTTTACTTTCAATAATAATTGTAGGGAATTTTTTAATATTTAATGACGAAAAAAAAAGAGTCTTCAATCAGGTGATCTGCATGATCTACTAAATTTTTTTTTTTTTTGCTAATACTTTTTAGTAATAATCGATCATTTATTTTTATTTGATTTTTTCTAACACTCAGACAATATAAAATAGTTATTTATAATTTTACTTGTATTTGGGCTTTGTACAGTGACTTGCTGTCGTTGGTTCGTTTTCTTTTTTTTTAAATTTTTATTAAAATTAAATCAATTCATTTTTTTCCAAATAAAAATCAAGCATAAATACTGGTTTATTATTTCCTGTTAAGATTTTTTTTTTTTTTTTTGTTTATTCTTTTGAAGAATTTCGATTATAAAATTTTGTGTAAACATTCTTAGAATTCCATAGAAAGTCAATATAATTTCCGTTTCTAATTGATCAACATAAAATTCTATTTTTCTAATCATGATTATATAATGAATCAGTTAAAAACTATAAATATGTTGAATTTTCATATAATTGCTTATAAAATAATAAAATGGAACCTGCAAATATAAATGATGAAAATCCTTTTGATCCAACACCAAAATTAAAATCTAGTCCCGTACCAATTAATTTTGTTTCTTTTAATAATAATGATATAAAATGTTTTAATTGTGGAGAAAATTATCTTTATCTTTTTAATTTTCATCAAAAATATTGTAAAAAATGTTTATTGAGTTATTTAACTAATATAACTGATAATAATATTTACTTGGACTTATATGTATTCACGAGGAACTTAGAATGTAGTGAACATGAAATAAGTAAGACAAGGGAACCACAAAATATTCAAGAATGTTGCAGAAATTGTTTGGACATATTATGTTTTAAACAAATATTTATAGGTGATTTTCAAGTTAGTTTTTCATATATTGAACACGATATTTCATTCAGTAATATTATTGAAAGTGAAAAAGATTGCAAACTATGTGGAAAATCATTAGGTCAAAGAAGTGGATATGAATTGAAGTTATGTTCAGATTGTTATCTAATTTCTTCTGGATATGTAGAATCAGCTTTGACTAAAAAACCTACTACTCCAATTATTTATTTACCATGGTGGCATAATGTAGTTCATTGTGTTGTTTGTGGCAAATACTTAACATTTACATCAGACTGTCAAAAGTATTGTGTAAATTGCCTTATATTTTATATTGGATGTAGATATTGTTTAACAACAAACATCATTTTCGGATTAATAACTCAATCTCAATGTAAAAAATGCAAAAGAATATATAGTATTGTGATTATTTTTAGTGGAAATAGTGAATTAGATGAATTTCTCCTTAATTTATTCCCTAACGCTAACATTTACGATAATTTTGAAATAGCCGAGCTTACAGATAAAATAAAAAATATTGACAAATATTTTCTTCCATCAGAAATAAATTCTAATATTAAATTTATTTGTCAAAACTATATGAATACTCGACCAGAGAATTTGATAGATCAATCAGAAAAGTTGATGAAATGGATACCATATTCTCAATTTAATAATATAAAAAAAGTAGCAGAGGGGGGATTTAGCATCATATACCAAGCAATTTTGCATAATGGAAGTTATAATGAAACTGTTATTTTAAAAAAGTTTAAAAATTCTCAAGACTTTAGCAAATATTTTAAATGAGGTAAACATTATTTTAATCGTAAATATTCATATATTTGTTTATTAAAATTATATACTGTAATTTAAAAAATATTTAATCATGAAATTTTAGCTAAAGTCGAATCAACATTGTTATGAAATTAAACATCATATTATTAAAATTTATGGCGTTACAAAAGATCTTAAATTGGGTGATTATATGTTAGTTATGCAATATGCATCAGGAGGAGATTTACATAACTGGTTAAGAAAGAGTTTTAAAGATATTACATGGAATAAACAAAAATTGGCAATTTTATGGCAAATATCAGAAGGGTATTTATAAGATTATATTTGTTGTTTTATTCAATTTAATTCTTATAAATTTATTACATGTGTTTTTTATTTTAGACTTGAAACAATTCATAACTCAGATTTTATACATCGAGATTTTCATAGTGGAAACATATTATCCAGGTTATCAGGCATGAACCGATTACGACGACGAGGAGAAGAGGAATCAATTAAAAAAAGACACCAATGGCAAATTGGAGATCTAGGATTATCGCAACCTTCAAATAATACGTCATCAAATAATGAAATATATGGAGTGGTGCCTTATATCGCACCAGAAATATTTAGAGGATCTGGATTTTCTAAAGAATCTGATGTTTATTGTATGGGTATGATTATGTGGGAACTTACAACAGGCTGCAAACCTTTTTCTAATGTTGAGCATGATATTCAGCTTATTTATAAAATTATTGATGGAGAACGACCTAAAATTACAGAAGACACACCAGAATGTTACGCTAATTTAATGAAAGGTTGTTGGGATAATGATCCCAAAAAAAGACCTACTATGACAGAAATTCGTAAAACCTTTGGTAAATGGTTTTTTAAAAATAAAAATATTGAACCTTTTAATCAAGCTGAATTGAAAAGATTAGAATTAATAAGTTTAGAGAAACTTGGTCCTGAGTTTAGTGAAAACCCCCACCCAAGTGCTATTTATACAAGTAGATCATTAAAATCTTTTATTTCTAAAAGTTCGTCTAAATATTCTTCGAAGGGTATGTGCTATACTAAAATAAGATAGGCAAATAAATTTAAAATACTAATTTGGATGAATATGTTTAATTATTTTATAGATTATGCTTCAATCGAACTAGAGCTTGATATAGATATTGAAAGGTACTTAAAATTTTTCTCTTTTATCTTTAATTAACAATTTAAAATCATTAATACAATTTTATATAATAGTAGACCAAAGGTATTTGGAACTAAGCGAAATATTGAAGAAGCAAATATTATTTCTTGTGAAAATAACGGTAAATATTTATTTGACTAAATCCAATCCATTTATATTCATTTGCATTTTATTTATTTTTTTTTTTTCAATTAAAAATACTAGGGAAACACATTAAAATTAGCCCCTATTCAAGTACTTCTTTCACGGACTATTAAGTGGAAAAATAATAAATAAATGGGAATCTATGAAAAGAATAGAATAATTTTTGCGCATTATACGCTTGTTTAATAAATAAATAGTCCTAGCATATGACGAAATCAAAACCTATAGTATATTTAAAGATATTTTATTATAACGTAAACATTATTAAATAAACTTTTATATTAAACTATTAAATGTTACTGTATCGCAGCTAAGATCATCTAATAGAGTGATAAAGTGATGCAGCTAATTAAACTACAAAATACAGTTTTAAAACTTATTTAATTCATAGGGTTTACCTACTGTATACAGTCTAACCTCGATATACCGATATTCGATATACCGATATACTATTAAAAACTTGTTATATCGATAAAATTTTATTTTCCCACTATATGTGAGGACATATAAATATCGGTATAACTTTGATATAACGATATTTTCTAAAAATTTCATATATGTCCCGACATATCGTTATATAAAGGTTTGACTGTATGAAGATAAAAAAAAGGACCGAAAAATAAAATTTGGAGAAATATTTATACACGGAACTAACCTTTTATTAAGGCTTTAATATAAGGCTTCAAGGAAACAATAAGTTTGTGATTACTGTATTGTAAATTCGCACATAATCCCGTCCATCCAGATAAAGATAACGGATAATTTTCTGGATGCATCATCCGTCACAAATGAATCCGGTTAATCCGTCAGATAATCTGGTATCCTTTATTATACGTGATGTATAGTTAGTGTGTAGAAAGAAAAAAAATACTTAACAATCGCAAAGCGGAGGCACGTGTTTTGTAATTCCGGCCGGCACTACCGATTTCCTGCCAACACTATGATTAATTTGATATCCGTAATCGGATATACGGATAGTACAATTTTACGTTTTACCCAATACGGATGTCGGATAAATTTGTTTTAAATCCATGATGGATTATCTACGATCGCATCTCTACTTTAGATAATTTCTGATGCAGTTTAAGAATTTAACATATCCATCAATGTGTTACAGATCACTATATTCATTACTGTTTATGGGTTATTGACACTTTTTTTAAATTTTTTGCATTGCGATTATATTTGTTATTATCTGCATCCAGTATAAAAGTATAAGATAATTTACACTATTGCTGCGGGGGAAATTACTTTTCAGGATCCGCAACGTTTTGCCCAGTGACTAAACTTCTGTAGCCCTAATTTGGAAACATTTCTGTAGATCAAATTGGGCGAAACTCGCTCGCAAAACTAATTTAAACAATGCCTTTAACAATTTTTGATGTAAATACTTAACAATTATGATAATCGTTTGAAATATAAAACTTTTCGAGCAATTTCCACAACATTTTTGAATATACCGTTATTCTACTTATTCCACGTTCATTACGTACATTCCATGCCCATTACGTAAATATATACCGATACGTCCAAGTATATACGTATATTATTTAGTGCAATAAATAACCTTTGCAATATTATTATATTTTTGCCAGCTATAAAGTGGTGCATCAGTATACTCTTCTTCTTAATAAATACAATTTTTATTTTTTCAACTATATTAAGAAACATATTTTAACCGGTATAGAACTCTTAGTTAAAATCATTTGTATTTACAAGCTATATATGTCATAAACAAGTATCATAATGAATTTATTTATTTCGGCGTATTTTATTTATATCATGACGATATATTAGTAAGAGATTAGAAAAAAATAGAACGTTCATCATGATACGGAAAGTATTTATTTTTCATGGGATTTTTTAAGGGTTTACCGTGGTACAACGGAAAATGAAGTCCGTTTCAAATTTAGAAGTTCATTATTGAATGTAAATGTGTAACGATAACGAACAACTTTATAATTTTTACTTAATTGTAATATTTGCTTATGGATGTGGGAAAAATGTTATTTAAGTATTGGCGTAACTATTTAAATTTTAAGCGCAGAAGTCGTAATGAAAAAAAAATGAAGTACAATTAACGAAAAAGGAAATAGAATAAAGTGAAAACTATTATGGTAACGAAAATGGAAATATTATTTTTTTTTTTTTCAATGAAAATAAGTTTGTACGACAAATTGAGTCGGACAGTTGAATGTTATTGTCCGCAAATCCACTGCTCCTGCAGCGGAAAGCTACATCAAAGGGAATATCCCAACAAGAACTTAATCGTCGATACGAAATTAAAAAATCCAAGATTTTAAAATAAATATTTTATTTTATTTTTTTTTTTTTCATTAAAACTTTTATTTATCAAAATAGTATAAGTATTTTTAGAAAATCGATCACGTGATTATAGTCTTGCACTACTACAATTGTATAAATAAAGGTAGGTCTACAGTCCATTAATACCTTATTTTCTTTTCGATTCAAACTTTAATTTAGTGTAATTTTGTTTTTTGTTTTTATAATGGCTACAATATTACATTCCAGTCTTTCAAAAGATTTATCTTTAATATTAAATGATGCAGATGATTTTAACGTAATTATTCAAGTTGGTGAAGATAATAATATAAAAGAATTTAGAGCACATTCGGTAATTTTACGTGCTCGTTCTTCATACTTTAAAAGTGCACTCTCGAATGGATGGGTGACAAAAAAGGATGATATGTACATGTATAATAAACCAAATATTGCTCCAACAGTATTTGGTATAGTTTTAAAGTAAGTTACATTTTAATTTATATTCTATCAAATTATTTTGATTGATTTATTATACAGTAATTACAGTAATTCTAAATTTTTATCTTTTAAGATACATTTACACGGGTGAACTTGACTTGGAAGAGCATAAAGGTAATGATATTCTTGAACTTCTAGTTGCATCTGATGAATTACTTCTAGAAGAATTATTTGAACATGTTCAAGAATATTTATTTAAGAAACGAGCAACCTGGATTCAGAAAAATATTTCTCTCGTTCTTAATACTGTGTTTAAACGTATGTGCATCAGTAAACTACAAGAGTGTTGCCTTAAGTCTATTTGTGCAAATCCACAACCATTTATTACTTCAGAAAGCTTTCTCTCATTAGATAAAGATATCCTCTATATTTTACTTAAAAGAGAAGACATGCAAATCGATGAAATTATTATTTGGGAATGTTTAATTAAATGGGGTATTGAACAAACTCCTAGTTTGGGAAGTATGAATAACGATAGAACTAAATGGAAAAAAGAAAATTATGAGGCATTAAAGAAAACTTTAGATAAATTTGTTCCTCTTATTCGATTCGTGGAAATTTCTCCTACTGATTGTTATGATAAAGTTCGACCTTATAAAACTATTATTCCAAATCATATTTATGATCAAATTGAAGAATTTTGTTTCAAAGGTACTTTACAAAAAGCAACAATTTTACCTCCAAGAGTTGGAAAGATTCAATTTGAATCGAAAATTATTAGAAAAAAACTTATTTATACAATCATTAATTGGATCAATAAAAAAGATGTAAAGAATGTCCTTAATAAAAAAGATTCATTATATAAGTTTGAACTTATTTATCAAGGTAGTAAAGATGGAATCTATAATCATTCATTTAAAAAGAAATGTAGTGCGGAGGAACCAATTTTGGTTTTAATTAAAAGTCAAAATTCACGAAAAATATTTGGTGGTTACACACCGATTGGGTTTAATCGTGTTTTGCCAAGAAGTATTTATACAAATAGTTGTTATATGTCTACAACAGATAGTTTTATTTTTTCTTTTGAAAAAAATGATGATAATCAAAATATTCAAAATATGAAAATAAGTCGTGTAAAATCACCTAGTTATGCTATTTATAATAATTATTATGGTAATTGTGGATTTAAATTTGGAGATGGCTGTTTATATATGCAAGATAGTATTTTGTATGTTAATAATGTTAATACTAGACAAGATTCTTATTATGAACAAAAATTAAAATGCACTGGTACCTATACTATCGATGAGATAGAAGCTTTTAGGGTAGTAAGCCAAGAATAAACAAGGTGTGTTATTTTGAATAAAATATTTTACGAAATGTAAGATTAAAATTCAACAAAGTTTGAAGTGTATAATTTCTAAGCTTTTACGTTAAGTGGGTATACAAACATGGATATACTGTATAAGTAGCTTAGAATAGCTAATCGTAGATAAATATCGTGTTGTTTGTGAAACTTCTTTTGTATTTATTTTGTTTGTTTTTTTTTAATATGTAAATTTGTGTTCATAATCTTAATAAAGTTATTGTATGCAACTGATTTAAAATAAAGCGTTGCAAATGGGACGGATATATATATATAATACCCCAAAATTTGTCCGTCATGTCAAATTAAATAAATATTTGACAGAATTTTAATCACCAAATTTTTATTTAAGTCCCAAATTTATTAGTGAACAGTCAAAAATGAGCTCTAAAAATTTTTTTTGTACCCAAATCTTGCGTCTAACCAATTTTCCCATTATCTTCCAGTGTTAAAGGCGCGTCATTATTTGACATTTTTTAGGAAAAAAGCTTAATGTTTCTATAAGTCAATTTTAATTCCCGATGGCGTGTTCCCTAGCGTAGATCCCGAAGTATGTGAAGCAGTATTTGAAGCCAATCAAGCAAATTTAGAACAAAGTATAAATGCTCTTTTGAGTATGTCTCAGCAGGTTTTCGCCAAATTTCATAAACCGCCGCAATGTGCAACAATTTGAGTAGTATTACTTATATTACGAAATTTAATTACTTACATTTATGATGCATTATAAGTTCTTAACGTATCTAAGAAAACTAGAGTTATTAGAAATTATAAATAATTGTTTATAAAATTGACTGAACACTTTTTTGAACAGATAAAAAAAATTGATTATGTTATTTTCACAATAAAGTCACGGTGGTGACCTCTGACGGAAAAGTCTCCTTACATTAACTTGACCCTTTGGAAAGATGGAGGTCGGCAGCTATATCGCCCTAGATCAACTTTCTTTTACTAACGAAGAGTTGGTTTCCTACAAGTTCAGACTTTCTGCACCAGAAATACCTTCTTTATGGACGGCCACGGCAGAGGACCGAGCAGAGACTTGGCTCTTTATCATATGCAAGAAGAGCTTCTCGAGTCTGACTACATACAAAACACCCTATAAAAAATTTTTCGGAAAAATGATCACGTGTCTGAGTTTCTTCGGAATAAAAATTAGAAAAATGATCATTTACCGGAGCTTTTTCCAGATTTTTTTTTATAGGGACAACGAACATATTTTTCAAAAAAACCCTGTAGCCCTTGAGCGATGGATATTGCATACTATCGCTGAAAACTTCGACTTTCCCACAATCCAGATGCTCGACAACGCCTACCACATGGCTCAGCTTCAAGATTTACCATTTGTGGAAATCTTCCAAAATTACGCTAACCTCCAATCGAATGTCATGTTGACATTCATGAAATTTCACTTTTAGGACACATCATTACATCACATAAGAACCTTAAAATTCTCACGTGACATACGTCACTCTAGAAGTTTTAAACACCACAAATTCCACTTCGACTTTTTTTTCGGCAATTAATAATGAGACGATCCAACCTCGAGTATAACTATACCACCGTCACGGAGTCGCTGACAAGACATCTCCGACTCCTCAAATACAGCATATTTCTGTACCCGGATTTCCTTTTTTTATTTTCGTGACGGATGTTATAGGGGTCTTATATGTCCCGTTAAATACTACACACATATAGATGATAGAAATTTATTCGGCGTCCGGGTCTATTATTACTATAGTTGGTTTTTCTTTTTTCCCTTCCCCATTTTTTTATTTGAGTTATATGGTACGTGAATCTGGCTATGCCTAGGATTCTTCGTGAATAATGGGTGGGGCAGCTCCTCTCCCAGTTCCTGGGGGTTGAATCATCCGGGGTTGTTTAGTTTTGTATCGTTTTTGTAATTCGTTCGAACCGGCGGTTCCGGTTTCCGTCTCTTATAATAAAAATAAAATAAAAAAAGCAAATGCTTATCCCGGGCCAGTCAAATTTGATTGGCTAATTCCAATCAATAAAATCAATAATAATAATTTTTTTTATACTTAGTCACACGACTTGGCAACGGTTTAAGCAAAAAAGGGCATAGTCTTATTACTAAATATCAAAAAGGCATTAAAGATAATTTAACTTTACATTACTAGATAATGAATTATCTTGCCTTTTTTGCAATCAATCTTTGCCTTAATCCTTACCAAAAAAAAATTACTTGATTATTTGAAAATATTACAGAATAAAGGTAGAAAAATAACATTTATTTATTATTATTTATTTTATGATTATGAAAATTACTCAATTTATCGTTACGTATTTGTTTTTAGATAAAAAACTGATCGCGCGGAATTTTGTTTTATGCACTATGCAGAAACTGCAATTGCACAGTAATTATTTTTGACGTAAATGATCTGTTAATGAAAAAGTTTTTAATAATAAAGTGTAATTCTTGCACGAAATAAATACATTATAAAAAATTATAGTTTAAAATTTAATTTTATTCAGTCTGTATTTTGTAGTGAAATTCTAATAGCTTGTGCTACAAAAATATAACAATTTTTGCCCAATCAAATTCGAGGTCCAGGAAACCGCAACTATCATGTGATCAGAGCAGCAATCAGGTGATTGTGCAGCATTCTATGTGCATTGGAAGCTTCCAATAAAAATTTATTGCCATTGGAAGGCTTGGAATTGGAAGAATTGGAAGATTCCAATAGCTTCCAATTTTCCATGCACATCACTGTGATTGTGTAACAAGTAAAAGATAGGTTGTTCGTTATTGTTGTTCAAATATTGGTTTTTATTTGTTTCCTTTCTTGGTCTGTGTTTCATTTCTGTTATTTTCTACGACGGAATGTTTAGTAATTACGCCCACACTTAAAAAAAATACTTTCTCTAGTTGATCATATGCGTCTTAACTAAATAAGTAAAAAATAATAAAGCCGATTTTTTGATTACATATTGTTATGCATTAGCTCTTCGATAAAGAACTTTTAAATTTCAAACGGACTTTTCCGTTATTTAAAAATTCCATGAGGAAATATAGAAATACTTTCGTATCACTAACAGAAAGTTCCATCTTTATCATAGTGTATCATTCAGATATAAATAAAATACGTTCAAATTTTTTCAAATTCATTATCATTATTGATACTTGTTAATAACATATACTAATAATTAACATAATAAAATGGAATTGGTGAATACAAATGATGAAAATTCATTTGACCCGACGCCAAGATTAAAATCTAGCCCTATACCAATTAAATTTCTTTCTTTTAATAATGAAGATAATAAGTGTTTTAATTGTGGAGAAGAATATATTGGGGCATATCTTTGTTTTTCCCAAAAATATTGCAAAAAATGTTTATCGCGTTATATTAATGATATAACTGATAATAGTACATACTTGGACGTATATATTTACACAATGGACTTGGAATGTAGTAATCATGAAATAAGTAGGACAATTGTACCACAAAATATTCAAGAATGTTGTGGAAATTGTGTGAGAATTTTATGCTTTAAACAACTATATGGGTATTTACATAATTTTGAAGATAAAGTGGTTGAAAGAGTAGTTGAAAGTGAAAATTATTGTAAATTATGTGGAAAGCCATTCGAACATCCATTTAAAGAATACGATTATTTGAGATTATGTCCAAATTGTTATCTAATCTCTTCTGAATGGATAGAATCAACTTTGGTTAAAAAGCGAACTTTGATTCTTTACTTACCATGGTGGCATAATAGTCCTTATTGTAACTCATGTCATTCAAGGTTAACATTTACATCAGACTGTCAAAAGTATTGTACAAATTGTTGTATATTTTATGTTGGATGCAGATATTGTTTAATAACAAACATTATTTTTGGATCTATACTTGAATCTAAATGTAAAAAATGTAAAAGAATATCGCTTATCATAAATAGTAGTGAACACAGCGACATTGATGATTTTCTTTTTAATGATGTTTTACACGATAACTTTGAGTTAGCCGACACTGTAAATATTGTAAAAAATATTGATAAATATTATTACCCATGGAAAATATTAAATTCTATTTTTGTAAAACAAAATAGTAAAGATAAACCAATTAATTGGACGCCATATTCTCAATTTAAAGATGTAAAAGAAATGACAAAAGGAGGTTATGGTGTTATACATAAAGCAACGTGGTTAAGTAATAATGAAACTATTATTTTAAAAAGATTTGAAAATTCTAAAAATAGTAGTAATTATTTCTTGAATGAGGTAAATATTTTAATATATTTATTGAATAATTTTTTGTCAAAAATTAATCGTTAATTAAAATCTTTAAATTTTATAGTTAAAATCATATCGACATTGTATTGATAAATCACTTTATAGTCACATAATCAAAATTTATGGTTTTACAAGAGATCCTGAATCAGAAGATTATATATTGGTTATTAAATATGCGTCAAAAGGAGATTTACATAAATACTTACAAAAGAGCTTTAAAAATATTACATGGAATAACCAAAAATTACGTATATTATGGCAAATTTCAGAAGGGTAATTATATTTTAAACGTATTCATTATATTCACAAATTTAAAATTATTAATTTTTTTTTAATTTAGACTTGAACATATCCACAAAAATCAATTTATACATCGAGATTTCCATAGCGGAAATATATTATTTGATTTATTTAATGACCAAAATGACCAAAAAAAAACTAAAGTAAGATATCAATGGAAAATTGCGGATCTAGGATTATCACATCCTGTAAATAATAAATCATCAAATAATGAAATCTATGGAGTTATACCTTATATTGCACCAGAAATATTTAAAGGGTCTGCATTTTCTAAATAAGCTGATTTTTATAGTTTGGGTATGATTATGTGGGAACTTACAACAGGTTGTAAACCTTTTGCTAATGTTAAACATGATCATAGTCTTGTTTATAAAATTCTTGATGGAGAACGACCTGAAATTACAGAAGACACACCGGAATGTTATGCTAATTTAATGAAAAGTTGTTGGGATCATGATCCAAAAAAAAGACCTTCTATAAAAGATATTCGTTTAACTTTTGGTAGTTGGGCTTTTAGAGGTAAAAATAAGGCAGAATTTGATCAAGCTGAATCAAAACGAAAGAAACTGATAGAATTAAAGAAGATTGGACCTGAATTTGCTGAAAAATATCACTCAGAAGCAATTTATACAAGTAGACTATTAAGTGATTTAATTTCTAAATGTTCATCTACCAATTCATCCTCAACAATTTCATATGACAATAAACAAGGTATTACTAAAAATAAAGATAATTATAATTTAAGTAATATTTTATAATTCATAAGATTTTTGTTACATACTTTAGATTGTAATTATATCTCACTTAATGCAGTTACTAAAAGGTATTTAAACAAATTTTTTTTTGTTTTTAAATGATATACTAACTAATTATTATATTGAATCTCTCAATTTATTTGTTTAGTTTTTCGGCACAAAATTTAAGTTCTATAATTCAAACTTGTTCAGCCTCTTTTGATTACATCTCAACAGAATTAGAGCTTGATATAGATACTGAAAGGTATTTCAATTATATTTTTAATTGGTATTACATTGTATACTAATCAATTGATATTTAAATGGTTATTTAGGTTATCGTCACAAAATTTAAGTATAAAAACTCAAATTTCACCAACCACTTTAAAAAAGCGAAACATTGAAGAATTGAATCCTGAAACTGATGACGATAATGGTAAATATTTATTTGGTTTTGATGATGTTTATTTTCATTTTTTTTGTTTATGTTAATACATATATTTTTTATTCTAATCAATTCTAAAATATTTAAAGTAGGAAAACGTATTAAAAGTTAAAACTAGATAAACAAATTATAATCCATAGAAGTCAAATATTTAACTATTTGTATAAGATTTGAAGAATATTATATTTGCTTTTGTATATTTGTAATAAATATCACTTAATTTTATTTTTATGAAACATAATTTGTGTTTTAAATGATTATATATTAACCAATGCTTAAATTCTATAGATTAATATCAAATATAAATTTCTTAACGAACTTGTTAAATAAAGTGAGGTGCATTCTTTAGAAGTTCTTGGTGGGTAAAGTATGATATTTTTTCAGTGAAAAATTTTCATTGTAAAAAAAAACAATATTCAAGAGAAATTTTTATTTGCAGAATGATCGCAAAAATCGTACTAAAACGGTGAAATATCGTTGATGCATTATATATAAATCCTTTTTCCTTTCATGAACGTTACATAAAAGTAGGCTTTGAGATATGCAATAACGAATTTCAACTCATCCGCTGTTAACGTTAACGGTATAAGAAACGGAATAACATTTCTTTGTGTTTTGCAAAATCAAAGATTACCAACTAAAACGCTGAAGTGTTGAGTTGCAAATACTTGAATTTAAAAAAATATTTCACCCGATTCACAAATTGTTTCTTGCAAAAGTTAATGATTTTTATTTCAATTATTTGATGATAGACGTGATCTTAATATTACTATTGAAGTTAGAGACAAAATAATTTTGTATCAACTCTCTTAGAACTTTACGAAAGCTCTTTCGTGGATTATATTACGAAAAAAAAAATTATCTAAGAGCCCGGAGTAAATCATTTTTCAATTAAATTTTCATTATCGAAATGTGCATCATTAAAATTTCTTAATTTGATATTATCGATTTCTATATTTTCATTATTTTTTTTATAAATCTTTTGGTAAATTGATGTAAATATTTTGTGAATATTTTTTACTACTTCCAATGTCCTCTTTTTGCTCAAAAGTTCGCTCCTCATCTAAGTTATATACCTTATAAGATCATTATTAATGTTTCTAATTCATTAAATTTTATTACAGTAATAATTTTTTTTTAAGATTTAGCAACAGTGAGTATAATGAATTATTATTACCATAAACTTTAATAATATCACCTGAATAAATACTTTCAATTAATATTCATATCTTGAATACGCATGTTGAATTTTAACCGTGTAATTAGTAAAAATGGTATATTGTAAGATCCAAAAAAAATTTTAAATTTCATTAAACAAGAAATAGATTTATCGGGGAATATCAGTATTACAATTCAATTATTCTTTCCATGTATTATTATTATTATAATCACAAGAAGTTAGTTTTTATTATCAAAGTTATTACCGTAATGATTATTATTTAAATGTTTCCACTATGGAAATATCGATGCACAAATTTGTTTTTATGAGTATATTTCAAGTCTGATAATAGCTTAATTTAAAAAATATAATAGATAAACAACTACGTTAAAAAGATTAATTCGTCAACTGCAAAGAAATCTGCGTAAAAAAATTATACTAATGATCGGCATAAATTTGTACCGAAAACATACATTGTGTAACAAAAAAAAATAAGAGACTGCGCCATGACGATCCCACTTAAAAGTTTATTGTGACGTAGGATATTAGGTATCATGTGGTTCAATAATAGCACTTGTCAAATAAAATTTTGAAAAACCTACATAGGTATTCACATGTAAAGATTATCTCCAACCCGACAAGTAGTCTTTCAGAGAGTATATCGCTTGGAAACGCTTCCTATGAAAAAGGGGACTCCTTTGCCTTGTGGAATAAACACCATGAATCTCATATAAAGTTACCCTTACTTAATGTACCTCCGTTAACGCTATCTCCACACTTTTTCAATAATTTAACTATAACGTAATTTTAGTAGCGTGAAATCTACAGTATTTGTCACGGTTACGCAGGGGTAATTATCGCTGATACTATTTAATTATATTACAATGAATGTCAATGATTTTAATATGCTATCATGGTTTATTTAAGGGATTAAGATAGGGTTGGATCGGTCCTAGCAAAGACCGGTCCTGAGTCGGTCTTGGGACCGGTCTTCACGGTCTTCCGAGATCTGAGGACCGGTCTGGACCGGGGACCGATCCATATGATTAATATCCATAAAATGACTCATTAAAATAATTAAAAAACGTCTCGAAACGTTTTTATTTGTTAAATTACTTACATGTCTCGCAACGTTCTTTAACTGTTTTAATAAAAAACGTTGCGAAACGTTTTTTATTGTTAAATTGCATGTTAAAAAACGTTTCGCAACGTTCTTTAACTGTTTTAATGAAAAAACGTTGCGAAACGTTTTTTATAGTTAAATTGCATGTTAAAAAACGTTTCGCAACGTTCTTTAATTGTTTTTAAAAAAAAGTTGCGTAATTTAGAGGCTTAAAATCATAGGGACATTTTTCTTAATTTAAATCGGTCCGGTCCAGGTGAAAGACCGGTCTTTTGGGACCGGACCGGACCGGACTAATCCAACCCTAGATTAAGATCCATTAACATGGTAGTATTTTTTGTAAACTTTTTTAAAATAATCAGTCTAGTAGTCTTAGTTAAGAAAAAAATTAAAATGGCATTTTCAATAATATTAACAAATTCGATTCGTGAGGAATTTTTCATCACCACAGATTTTTTTTGTGGATGATTTGATACTTAATAGTTATTCGGCACTGCATCAACTGATCAAACTTGATTCCCAATATAACAAGCTACCTTTAGGTAGCGCGTTAGTTATTCGGTTCGAAGTGCCGAATAAGTGATTTATCCGGTATCCCGTGATTTGATATTGCCTGATACACGAATTTTTGCCTGATACACGATTTTTTTTGCCTGATACACGAATTTTGCCTGATACACGATTTATTATAACCATTTTTAATTATAAAAAATCACGTGATACCGGATAATTAAAAATATCCCATCATATCTTCAATTTCTTTTCTACGTCTCTTAATAATTGTACTCAGTACTTGATTAAGAAATCCCATATTCTGAAGTATATCATCTGCTTTATTTTTAAAAAATGGGAAATTATATATATATATATATATTCTGCATTCTTACTATTTTTTGTCATTTTTTTGTTTTTTATATAAAAATTATTTGAATCACTTTTTTACAATAAAATTAAATATTTAATAATATTCATCCTTCCATATGTACTTTACGTATTTTTTCAATATTTTTATTGATACAATGGGATAATAACATTATTGGACGACAAATTAATGCGGTTTAACATTCAAAAAAGTCTGCCTGGTGACTTTAATACCAAAAAAATATTTTGTTTTAATGTAAAATATTGTTGATAAATATTTTTAATCATTTAATTTTATGATTTATTAAAAAAATCAGATCTAAAAATATTAAAATTTCATATAAAAACAGAAATATGAAAGTGGTAGAACTTTAAAATTCATTATAGAAATAATACTATTGATTATACCAAAAAAAAATTATATACTTATGTTGCAAGAATTCGAATCTGAATACAGTTTAAGCGTTAATAATGACTGTATTACTTCCATATTTGTTGCCTACAAAGAAGTTAACCGTTTATTTTTATTTAATTTAATTTGTTTACGACATTAGTACAAAATGGGTCTCGACCAACCATAGTGGAATATTATTACATATACAGTACATAGAATTTTGAAAGGTAATTATACATGTGGGCGTAATTATTTCAGATAATGCGGCATTAAGGCGGCGTAATTGTGAAATATATTACAACAAATTTTTATAACAGTATTACACCGGTATAATGCAGAATTGTGTAATGTGTCATAATATTTCGGCATGGTTTAAACCTAATTTAACCCATGTATAGATCGGTATTAAGAAGTATGATTGCCTAATCACTTACATAATTTTATGATTCAATGCATGTGTACGTTTTCGCAGAAAATTCTTTTTTTATTTTATAATTTCATTAATACATGAACCCTATTTTAATACACGTTATTTACTTGCATTTTATAAATTTCTATATGAAGAAATTATACAAAGATGAATATTATAATGTTTAGTGAAGTTTTAACATACGACTGAAACTGTGAATAGTCGTAACTAAATTTAATTTAGTACAATATGTAAATTTACTCATCTAAGATGTTGGTTATAAAAATTGTATTACCTATAATACTTTTTTTTTTACGCCAAAGTATTTTTTTTTTGTAATAGTGAACAATATAGATACAACAATGCGTTCATTATAGAATTTATTTAATCACGCGATCCGCAGTCATTTATGGAGATAAATTCTTAATATTGTATATTTTATAAGTTTCTGAAAAAAAAAAGAGAAAGTATAATGGCCTGCGCATTTATTATTTTTTTTGTGAAATATAAATATGAAGAAGGTGGCTGCATTCACTGATAAAACTTAACCAAAATTTGAATCATGAAACACTCCAATGAGATAAAACAGGTTTTTTACTTTTACAAATTTCTTATTTATCAATTATCATTAAGGAGTCGTTTTATGTGGTATTCAATTAATTAATTTTAATGATAAAAAAAAAAGTTTTTATTTATTACTGTTTTCGTTACTCATTTTTCTTTTTTTAGGACTTCCGATAATTTGTGCAATTTAGAGTATAGAATTGGCGATTAAACTGGTTATCATTAATAAACTTAATATTAATAAACCGGTTATCATTAAAACTTAATTTTAATAAAACCGGTTATCGTTAAAACTTAATATTAATTAATTGATAATTTAGGCCAATTTACATTACTAATTAAGGTAAATTTATGTCATTTGTATTACGTACAAATTTATCTATAAAAAATTTTTAAAGAAACACAAATTATGTTTAAGATGATAAAGGAAACACCATGTAAGTAGATTACATTTACATTAATATTATTTCCTTTGTTTTCAGAATTTCAGGGTCCAAAGCATACATTGATATTTTTTTTTTTTTTTTGCATAATAGCTGATAGGACCAGCCGAAGTGCTGTTTAAGGTAAAGTATGTACATCGTCACGTGACGGATG